TTAAATACACAATTATATGATAAAGAATGAAATTTTGAAGTCCGAAAAGGGTGATCAAGTGGGTGACTTTCAAGTATTCGAGAGCGTGGATTTAATCGAGAGAGAGAGAGAGAGTATTGATAAGAATTTAACTTGTAATTTTTAAGTATGAAAATCATGTTCCACCTATCCACCCATCCCTTTCGAGCTAGTTTTTTTTTTTTTTTTTTTTTCTTTCTTTCATTTATGGAAATATCTTACAATTGTTGAGCGAATGTGCTCGTAAAGTCCATCTTGTGAATCTAGTTGACAAAAAAGGATATAGGTCCATAAGGAGGTAAATTAGCCTAGATTGTCCATAACTAACCGACTTAAATTGAGAAGGCTAGCTAATAGGCAGCTCATTGTGGACCTGTCTCTCTCAATAATAAGATAAATTTGATTAAGGGCCCGTTTGGAAAGTAAAAAATGACTTTTGAAAAATGTTTTTCGAGTTTCAGTGTTTGGATGAAACATGAAAATTCAGTCAACGAAAAATATTTTCCGTTGACTGGGAAAAATGAAGTCATTTTGGATGAAAATGACTCCCGCCAAAATTTGGCGGCTGTCATTTTCCGCCAAAATGTTTAATTATACAATTCTACTCATTTTCTAGAAAATAAACCAAAGACACCAAATTTTTCAAAATGCAACCAAACACCGGAAAGGAAAATATTTTCTGGAAAATGACTTTTTTTCAAAAAACATTTTCCAGAAGTCATTTTCCTACTTTCCAAACGGACACTAAGTTATATTTTGCCCAGTGTAGCTAGCTCAAGTAGTCGACCACCTGACCTAAGTCGGGGTTCGACTCTCACCAACAACGCCTTGGAGTTAGGACTTCCAGAATTGACAGAAATGTAGAGATGAATTTCTTGTGCGCAAAGTCAACAACAAAAACCGACTAAGAGGCTAATTGGGTGACTCCATGTAGCCTATTTTTATCAAAATCACTCCAATTCTGCCCATTTCAATAAAACAATTCTGATAGAAAACCCTCAAATAAAATCAATTGATAACTCGTTGTTGTTTCCAAAAAGTTGAATCCCAACCCCAAGAGTTTCCACGTCTTGGCCTGACAAAGCATCTCCAATGAATGAATGTGCGCATTGCGCATACCCAAAAAAAAAAAAGTAAAAAGTAAAAACAACAAATTTAAGTTACAATTAAGATAAAGTTGATTTATGTTGGGTTGATCATACATTCAAAACTTGAAAGTTGATGTTAGAGAAACTATCCTAAGTTCTCATGATTTAATTTTCTCTTATTCAATGTGCATGAAAACTGGTAATTCAAGCATTATATTCCTCGACTACTAATCTAACGATGTAGAACAGTTGATAAGCGAATTAGTAATGATATCAAACAAAAAAAATAAAAAATTCTTTTATTGGTTACTCTACCGCAGGTAGATAGCTTATAACTAGCAAGGCCGGTCCTGAGGCGAGGGCGAGATGGGCATCCACCCTAGGCCCACTAGCTTGATTTTGTTTATTTTTAATGAAAATAAAAAAAAAAATACTTGCAAAGATTTTATTAATTTTGAATCTACATAATAATTACAACTATTTGATATACGTATATCATTTAATAGATAGTTTATTTTATTATAATTACACTATATATAGGGGCAGGGACGGAGCCAAAGGGGGGCAGGGGAGCAACTGACCCCCCTCACCCCACCCCCACCCCCACCCCATATATAATCTTTGTATGTATATATGTATATATATAGTATATGTTTTAGTATTAGTGTAAAAAAAAACTAGTAAATGTTGAAAAATAAAGAGTTAGATTAGTTGGTAGAGCCTATATTTAGTAATAAGAAAGGTTTTGGGTTCAAATCCTTGCATTAACATAGTTTTACATATTTTTGAGTCTCTCCCCTATGGCTTCAACATAGTTACTTTGTTAATATTTAACACACACACACACACACACACACACACACACACACACACACACACACACACACACACACATATATATATATATATATATATATATATATATATATATATATATATATATATATATATATATATATATATATATATATATATATATATATATATATAACATTCTTTTATATTAATAGTGAGATGTGTAATTTATAATGTGTTTTCTATTCAAATTATTTTATCAAATTAATTATGTTTCATATTTTGTTATGAATATTTTTATAAAGTTTCGATGTGTTTTATTTTTCGCACATATCCAATAATATTTACAACTATATTTCTTAGGTAATGGTTATAAAAAAATAAAAAATTCTTAGGTAATTTATTTATTTTTTAAAATTATCTATTTTGTTTTATTGTTTCGCTTTTACTTGAAAAAAATTTTGAATCCGTCCTACTTCTTCGTCCCCCCCCCCCCCCCCTCCCCCCTCTCCCCCTCAATCGAATTTATAGCTCCGTCCCTGTATAGGGGTCTAAAGTTTAAATGAATGGGCAGTATGCACTACTCCAAGACTATTTTAAAATGTTTTGTTTTAATAAAAAATTATATTTTTACAAAAATTTAAAGTTATCATTTAATTATTTTCAATTAATCCATACAATCTTTTAAATTCATATATTAAAGACCTTTGTGAATGCTACTGAGTCTATTACAATTCATAACTACTTTCTCAACTTACCTATCTTTTCCAAACCATTCAGTTGGTTGGATTTTTTGGAGGGATTCATTTAGCATTCATTTGTCAATCAAAAGCATCCAGCAGCAAGCTTGAGTAGCCTCGTTTCTATATTTTTCTAGACATTTGCCTTTTGGCCTTGTCCAACTCCAGTAGTTCTCCACGATGGGTTGACACGCTCATTCATTCCCAGCGAAAAGCTTGGCTTTCTGCCTATCCAATTGCCTGGTAGCAATAGCAGCAGCTGCTGCAGTGGATACAGGAGATGGAAAGAAATATCCGCAAAGGTGGTGAAGCACAAGGGGCAACAGATTGATGGAGGAAGAGGATATTTGGGTGCAAATAATGGTGCAGAGGGGCCGGGGCTTAGTCTCTCTCATATGCAGAAGCACAAAGAAAGAAAGAAAGAAAAGAAGAAAAGTTGATGGTGCAGAGGGGTCGGGGCTGTACAGGCGTACAGTTAGCTTTGTTTAACACATTTCAAAAAAACACTGAACAGAAAACATGGTGGATAGATTGGAGAAAAAGTAGCTTTGTTCTTGAACACGTACAACATATGCATGACTGACAAAACAAACAAACAAATATGGATTTGGGTAATTGTAAATTTCATTTCATGCGGTCTTGTAAATACTTGTGTACGTGTTTCCTTGTTGCTAAAACATGAAAAACAAGAGAGTTACTGCGTGCCACAAAATTTTAAAGGGTTGTGAGTTTCGATGTCGAACGCCGCATGCATAGTACGATTCATCTCATCTAGGGTGTTAGCGAACAGAGCTTTCGTATGTACAATTCATTTCATCTAGGATGTTAGCGAACAGAGCTTTCGGTAAATTACTCGTGTTCGATAAGCGTTCATTTATGTTCGTTTATTAAAGTAAATGGACATAAATGAATAAATTTTAGAGTTCGGTTCATAAACGAACATGGTACAAACAGTTGTAGACTCATTTGCTAAGAATTCGTGAACAAGCTCGTTTGTTTAGTAATGTTCGTTATATATATATATATATATATATATATATATATATATATATATATATATATATATATATATATATAGTTGTGTTGTTTGTTGAGTTATTATTTGTGGGAGAAAATGTCAAATAAGTCTTTGAACTTTACACGAAAAGTCAATTAGACACTTAAAATTTCAAAAAGTACAATTAGACATATAAACTCATAATTTTAATGCATTCAACCCCATTAGCTAGTTAACCTTCCGATAACTTTTTTTTACCACAAATGACTTGTCAACAATTAGAGCATCTCTAAAAGGAGATTTTACCTAGCTTTTAGAATAGTAAAATTTTGCCTAATGAATTTTTAACAAATGAGGGTGTTGATTTTGAAGAAATCTTTCTCGTGGAACATCCCACATTTTGTCAGAATTTTAAAATTTAAAAAAAAAATAAAAATAAAAATAAAAAAAAAAACAAGAAAAAAAAAAGTAGGTCCGCCCGCATAGGCAAAATTGAAGAGTTTATTTTAAAAAAAAAATATTTTTAAATCACGACGGTCAGCTTCTTATTTTATTTTTTTAAAATTTTTAATTTAACTTTTTAAAATTTTTGTTTTTATTTTTTAATTATTAATTTAATTTAATTTAATTTTTTTAAGTTATTATTGTTATATTAAGTTTATATTTATTAATTTATTAATTAAATTAAAATTCTCAATTATCAATAATATTATTATTCATAATATTAATATATTATTATCAAATTTGTAATTATAATTTTTTAAATGATATTCCGTAATAATTAAAGAAATAATTAAAATATACAAGATAAAATGGTGGGTTCATAAAAATTGAGAAAAAACTTAAAACTAATGTAGGGAATGATTTTTGTGATTAAGTGAGATAGCGGAGTGAGATATAGATGTTAGGGCCTACAAAAAAACTGGGAAAAGAAACCTAAATATTGAGGATGCCTAATATCTGACTCAATACATAAGCAAAGGCAAAAAACAAAAAACAAAAACAAAATTCAAATTTAATTTTAAAACAATTGAAATTTTAAAAAAATAAAAAAAATCACCGGTTCCAATCCACGCCTCTGACGTCGCCGCATGGAAATTCACCGGTTCCAATTCCTGGCCTCTGACGCTACTGTTCGATGGCGGATTGTACGTGTTCAAGAACAAAACTACTCTTCCTACGATCTATCCGTCCTGTTTTTTGTTATGTGTTTCTCTAAAGCCCCCTCTGCTAGCTTTGTTTAACACATTTATGAAAACAGGACAGATAGATCGTAGGAAGATTTGTTTAACACATTCTTTGTGCTTCTGCATATGGTTAGCTGCTTTGTTTGCACACAATGCTTTCAAAACAAAGATTCACATACTATTATCCGAGATAGCCTCAAGAATATAGAAGACAATGTGTATATGGCACTTCCTATTAATAAGGCAGCAATTGCATTATAGCCAGCCGTTTGTTGTCTTTGCTTGGTAGATTTTAATGTATTTGTCAATTCAAAGAGCCTATAAGAAACCTGCAAATGTAAATGTGTAACAAGACCAACTTTATTCGTGCACTCTGCCCTGCTTTATACTTGTTCTTAATGAAACCAAAAATAAAATCCTCATCTTACAGCTACATAAATCGCAGTTGTAAGCATGAAGTTCAGCAATGGATACTCTGGGATCAAACACAGCAACTTTTTAGGCTGCCCATCTAGCACACTAGATCTGCATTATTGTGTTGCAGAAACATACATCAACATGCAGTGCATTAGTAATCCATATCATAAAATAAACCATAGATCAAATGAATGCACAGAACATTAATCACTAGATGAAAATGGGTAACTCACAAACTAGCAGTTGAACAAGGTTATATAGGCACACGTTATTGGAATCCATGATGTATAAGGATGATATTTATTGTATGTGTTCTTTGGAAGCTTGTATATGTACAGGTATCCAATCTGAAATTCATAAAACTATAACATCAAACACATGAAAGGACATATTAACATGTTTAGAATAAGATAGCCTCCTACCGCCACTGAAGTTATCGTAACAGCTAAAAAAAAATCACCGGTTCCGATCCCCGCCTCTGACGCCGCCGCATGGAAATTCACTGGTTCCAATTCCTCGCCTCTGACGCTACCATTCGATGGCGGATTGTACGTGTTCAAGAACAAAGCTACTCTTCCTACGATCTATCAGTCCTGTTTTCTTTTACGTGTTTCTCTAAAATGTGTTAAACAAAGCTAGCTGTACAGCCCCCATGCGAATCATCATCAACTTTTCTTCCATTCTTTCTTTGTGCTTCTGCATATGAGAGAGAGAGAGAGCGTAAGCCCCCTCTGCACCATTATTTGCACCCACTTGTGCTTCACCGCCTTTGGGTGCAAATAATGGTGCAGAGGGGGCTTAGGCTCCCTCTCTCTCTCATATGCAGAAGTACAAAGAAAGAATGGAAGAAAAGTTGATGATGATTCGCATGGGGACTATACAACTAGCTTTGTTTAACACATTTCAAAGAAACACATAACAGAAAATAGGGCGGATAAAACGGAAGAAGAGTAGCTTTGTTGTTGAACGACGTACAATTCGCCCTAGCATTAGGAAATTAGAATTAGGCGTAAAACTTTCAGTTCCAAAAGTAAATAATTTAGGCCTTACCGCTTACTGGTGCTGATCCTTAGCCAGTGCTGCTCTTTTGTCTGGAAACAGGGTTTTTCTTTGGATGAATAAAGAAGATCTCGATCAGAACTGAGAAACTCATTTCTCAGAATCCGTGAACGGAATTTACCTGTTCCCGACGGCTGTCTACATATAAAGTTTCAGGGTCTACTCACCTGTCTAGAAACAACCTAGTATAAATTGGTAAGCTTTTTTGAGTTAAAGTCTGTATAGATTACATCCAGAATCTAGTTTCAGAGACATTACTTGGTCATTTCATTTTCATGTTTGTGCAATCTACATTCTTCATTGTTTCTGAGTCTTTGACTGGGCAGAGCTATTCAGAGTCCTGGATTTCATAACCCGGGAATCTGACATTTCTCTGCTGCTGTTGTGTGGAGCTTTTGATCTCTTCCGTCTTATAGAAAATCCTGATCCAGAAATGGCATTCGATGATGAACAAGGCTGTTCTTTTCAATTGAATACCTGCAATATCATAAATGATTTCTCAGAAGACGAGAAAGTGGATAGATTTGAACTGAAAATTACATCACTTTCATGAAGATTTCTTTCATAAATTGCTCCGGTTTGTTTCAATCAAATATTTGATAACCGGATAACGAAGGCAAGGACCTTGTAGTCAATGAAAATCGGTTTGATGTTCAGAGGTCTAGTTTCAAGTCTTCTCCCTCAAACAAATAAATTATCACAAAGCAATGGTGCGCACAATGAAAGTACTGACGCATTTAAACCTTCAAATGGTCGAAAATGAAGGAAAATGAAATCTTTGTGAACACAGAGTTTTTCTGTCATAATAGATGAGTAGCTGTGAACAAAAATGTTAAAAATGGGAATTATATTCTATAACCAATTTTTAATTCATCAACAAAGCTTCTAAGCTCAATTTTTTCCAAAACCAACATGCACAAGTCTATTGAAGTTTTAAATCAACCAAATATTATATGCAGGCAAATGAATCTGTACCGTTGACGGATGATCTTGAATCCGTGAAATTCTATGGGAACGGAATTTACCTTTCCCGACGGCTGTTTAGGAAACTTGGCGGTTGCTCGGTCTTTGATCAGTTATTCACCGCTTCTGGTTTGAGACGAGAAAGGTGTTCTACTACTTGCCGGAAATCCCGAGTCATCGCCGGCCTTTACAAACATTCTTGTCTCGCTTTTCTAATAAGATTTCTCGCTTGGGGC